ACAGAAAGATAAAAGACAAGCCTAATATATGTATGAGTATCAAAGCCCGTCTGACAGGTCGGCAATGTCTTTGGCTACATTTGGACCGCAATTTTCCTCACTTTTGGCTGCGCCATCTTGTCCGACCTGGCAACACTGACCATGACCTTCTCGCCGACTTTTCACCCAACTAGCCGGCTTTACACATGTGTGGCTGTTGCCGGCGTCTGCGTTTCCCTGTTCATTCGTAGAAGGTGGTGTTGCGAACGAGATTTTTCTTCTTTCTCGTCCCAGCAGCGCTCTACAAGACGTCATGGTGTCAACTTCTGCGGTTGGCGACAGCAAGGTGAGAACACCGACGTCTGCGTTCCTCGGTGCACGGCGTAATAAGCTTGTTTCCCACCCTGCTGCCTATATAGTATAGGCTCACCCCCGAATTCACAAACGCTCCTCGACTCGACTTTCACCCTTCGCTTGACAGAGTTGAGCACTGCGCCGCTGCTCGGCTGAAAATGGCGCTGCGCCGCTCAATAATACCGCAAATTATCACTGATATGCAGTGACTTGCACTGCCTGGAGATAGCGCTCCTATCGGCTTTCTCAAGTAAAGGTGCAGCGTTGAGCGAAGTGGCGTTTTAGAATATGGGTGTTAGAGCACGTCGACTGCTTAGCGAGCAAGGTAATCAAGGGCGTTTACGAAATCTTCAGGAACGTTGGCGACGCTTTGCATGCCACCCAGCCAAGTATTTCTCCCGGAACTCGCGTTATCAGTTGGATCTTTGAAGTCGACATGTAACGTGGCGCTGCTTCCGCGAGATAAACCGCTGATTCCAGAAAACTGCTTATGATGCCTCATAATAAAGGCCACGTGATGAAAAGCCCCGCCGCGGTGGTCTAGTGGCTAAGGTACTCGGCTGCTGACCCGCAGGGCGCGGGTTCGAATCCCGGCTGCGGCGGCTGCATTTCCGATGGAGGCGGAAATGTTGTAGGCCCGTGTGCTCAGATTTGGGTGCACGTTAAAGAACCCCAGGTGGTCTAAATTTCCGGAGCCCTCCACTACGGCGTCTCTCATAATCATATAGTGGTTTTGGGACGTTAAACCCCACATATCAATCAAATCAATCACGTGATGAAAAGCCGGCGAGTGGTATAAAGAAGAACGAATATGATGCTCTGCGAAAATATGTCGTCCTTACGTAGCCATGGTCTAGCTCTATAAATCCCACGCTATATATATATATATATATATATATATATATATATATATATATATATATATATATATATATATATATATATATATTATAAATGCGGTTCTACTACTCGAAAACCTGAGGAAATGCGTAACTCGGGCAACCAACGATACCGGGTCATATATAGAGTTCCCAGTGCTACGTTTGCGAAACTGTCGATGGCATCAGTACTTGCCATAAGCGTGCGCGATTTTCCGACACTATCTTGTTAGAGAGATTCGCAAACTTGTTGTGTGTCGTGCGCGCTTCCTGTTGCTGCGTTTTATCGAGTTCCTGCTTGTTACACCAGCTGAGATATGAATGGATGAAAAACTTTTTAATGAGCTTCTAATAAGCCCGGTTTTGAGCAAATCTAGCCATGTTTCAGGGCCTGCATCGGCCACTTCATTTTGAGCACGACCACGCGATATGATACACTGGATGGACTACCAGCCCCTGAGGCGCTACGCACTTAAAAATCACGCATGCACCACACACACACACACACACACACACACACACACACGCACACGCACGCACACGCACGCACACGCACGCACACACACACACGCACGCACGCACGCACACACACGCACGCACGCACACGCACGCACACACACACACGCACGCACACACACACACACGCACACACACACACACACACACACGCGCACACACACACACACACACACACACACACACACACACACACACACACACACACACACACACACACACACACACACACACGCACACGCACGCACACGCACGCACACGCACGCACACACACACACGCACGCACGCACGCACACACACGCACGCACGCACACGCACGCACACACACACACGCACGCACGCACACACACACACACGCACACACACACACACACACACGCGCACACACACACACACACACACACACACACACACACACGCACGCACGCGCGCGCGCGCGCGCGAACGTTGATTTGGAAGCGCCTGGCTTCGTTATTCCGACGTTCACGTGCGTACGAAAAACAAGCGCCGTCCACGTTAGGCCTAAGATCACATGACCATCCGCATGCTTCGTGGCACACTATAGCTGCGCGTTCACTTGGTCTTTGCGGTGTTCGCGTCATTGAAAAGTAACCGGTGTTCGCGCGCCAGACTTCGTCTTCGAGACAGCGTGAAACCCGATGCTAAAGAGTGTGGGGTCTCAATGTGACTTCAGCTGTCGGAACACGCGGGTACAGCAGATGAGGTCGAATCGAACCGAACGACTATGTTGAACTGCTTTTACATCGACGATATCGCGAGCCGAATGAAATGCGTCACGAGAGACACGCTAGAACAACCTTTTACAATATTCCAGTATACTCATTAGAGAGTTTTAGTACTGCGGAATGGTGCTCAGTACGCATCACGCAAGCGCCTTGCGTTACGTGGCGTCGTTTGCCACTAATCGGCTTTTAGTACGCCGTAGTACCCGCGTACGTAACGAGCGTGAAGCGTGTAGCGTCATCTGGTAGATCAAAATAGAAGCACGTGTTGTTGACAGCCAATGTGAGCCAATCCAAGTGTTATAGCCAGATTATGGCCATATTTTAAGCCACAGGGCCGGTCAGTGCTTGCCTTTGATGCCGCCATTTTGCAAAACGAAGTCTCGAGCTGTCGCGAACTTGTTCGGGAGTGGCGCGAGCAGCTCATACGTACGCACGCATCTCATGCGTGCGTACGTAGCGGCTGCGTACGTAACGCGATACGTGCGCGTTGCGGTCTGCGCATGCGCACTACGCAGAACGTTGCGTCCTTACGTACGCAACGCCGCCACGTACGCAGCGTACGCAGTACTAAAACTCTCTATTAACATAACAACAGACGCAACATAACGCGAAGGTGCGGTCGCCAACGCTCGACTCACCACGAGGGACTCACGGGAGACGACCCGTGGCGCGTTCCCCATGAACCCACCGCGGGAGACGACCGTTTTGCGCCAGCCGCGCCACACGCCAAAGAAAGCCACTCATGTCTCTAGTGCCTAAGCCCGCCAGACATTACTCCTGGTGCTGCCTAGCTCGCTAGCCATAATGATAATGAGGATGGTACAACGCGCGCGAACACTGCGCCGCCTACCGCTGGATGATTGTTAACACTAAATGCGGCTTATTCGTGAAACACGTGTGTGCAACGAGGCACAAACGACTTTACAGGAGAAAATAGCGTCCCCACAAGGGAAAGAGGATGATATCATGGGCCATCTGAAGTCAAGCTAACTGATGGACAGGAAAGAAGTGAAATCTTAGCGGTGCATAAATATGGTAATAAGCTAGTTAACAAGTGAATTAGCAAAATCTGATAATCTTTCATGGGTTATTGAATTAAGCAGTCAAATGCATGACAGGACATCAAGTTGACTACATAATCAATTAGAGAATGGTAAATAGTGACTGTTAATTTGTAACGTGATTTAATGAACGTTGGACGTCGACATAACGTAAACTGGCCACACCGTTGGGCTATATCGTTACTCTTAAGCGAATGCACTAGGTACTCTGCGAGTTATGGAGGTCCTTCAACCACAAATGGTTGGTAAAGTGGCTCATTTTCATCTAAAGCAAACATGCAATTTAAATAATCATTCAAATTATTTTGACCTTTTGTGAAAGTGCAAAACGCTCACTACAGTTAGGGGTACTCTGTCATCATCCACTTCGTTATAAATTGGGCGACTCAATCGCAGCAGCACAGCGGGATTGCACAAAACCACTTCAACACTATCCGCACAAAAAGCAGCAGTGTTTTTGCGCTCCTCATAGCGTGAAAAAGTAGGTCTAAAAGATGGCCCTATATCGCGCTAATCTGTCTGAGCGTGTAACTATATTTTTGCTGTAGATAACACATTTTTCTGAGAATACAAGATAAATATTTATTTCTGGGTCGTAAATACAGCGCACTTATGCTGGGGGTTCATGGGGGTGTCCGGCGAACAATTATAAGCCTTCGCGAACGCTTTGAAATTTTTAAGCGGTGCGTTGCATCTTTCCCTCGCATCGAGATCAGTATGGGATGAACACAAGGCGCTACAGTATGTCATGAAGAAAAGCTGCTTCTCGGTGTATTGTTCCAGTGATTCGAGCCTAAGACTGGAATCTGAGTGTCGGCGCAAAGCATCTAAAAAAGTGCGATAGGTGATTTCTAAACCAGCCACCAAAGGAAACACTTCCAAATCAACGCGCGTGTCTTTCGTGTACACGCACGCCATTTTCTCTTTGTACGAGTAATAGATGCGCTGCCAGTCTTTTACGATAAGCTGACAGTCGGCATCGATTACTCTGCCGAGTAAGTCCATTGTCTTCGCTCCTTCTTGGGCGTACAGCGTTCCAAATCCTCCGTATATCATGGCATCTGTTCCGTCGAAGTAATACACCGGTGCCTTGAGCACAGCCATGGAAACGAGGGCTTGATTGAAGCAGTAGTCGAAGTCGAACGATCCGTGTGGCAGTGCTATTTGCATCGTGTACAAGTCGTCGAAGTGCGCGTCAGTCAAAAGACCTCGAAGCGTGCGCAGTGACTGTACGAAGCTCCCGAAGAATGGTCCAGTCATGTCGGGGAACTTTTCGTACAGTTCCTTAGTCGCATTCTGGTCGAAGAACTGCGTGGCGGGCCATATTTTTGCTTTCAGCTTGCGAATCTTCGCGAGCGCCATGTTTTTGGCGTCGAGGTCAAGCCACGTCGCGCTTTCGACGCTGTCGTAAAACGTCAGCGTTATCTGTCCCACGAGGCTGTTGACGCGTTTCCGTGTGCGCGCAGGGTACTCGTTTCGCACGTAGTCTTCGGCGGCGAGCAGACCCAGAGACGAGCTAACGTAATCGAGGCAGGCACGCTCGACAAGCCTTCCACTCTTTTCGCTCGTTCCGACCCGCAGGTCCGACCTGCCCGCGACGATCCAGAGATGTTCTTCGATAAACATCCAAGAGATGGCCTCGGCTATGGCTCGATCGGAATGCTTCGTGAAAAGCACGTCGATGTTCTCGAACAGCTTGCTTCCTATAACGACAGGACTATCAGCGCCGAACAGATACGGCTTGCTGTGTTTATTGATGAGCTCCAACAACCAAGTGTCATGCCAAGGCCAGCTCGCTGCTAAAGAAGCGATATTTAAGGGCACGTGATAAGGATCGCCTCGGGCCACATCGAGAGACATGCTTACAAAGTGGCTTTGCAGTGCCTTTAACGCGCTTATCGAAAACGAAGTGGAAGCGTTCAAAATTTCGAGGTGTTTCCTGACGTACGACTTGTACTCGGCCTCCGACTCCGGCATGACGTCTTCCGGGCGCCATCGAGAACTCAGTGTTCCCGGAGTGAAAACGAACACCGGCGTACCAGACACCGGTGACAGGAGGATGCGAGCCTGGAAAAGCAGACCCATGCGCCAGTTTATGGCCAAATTCAAGAGCATGTCCATCGGATGTGCGGTAGCGGCACCTCGAGGTGGCGCTTCGGGCCAGAACATGCTCAAGTTTCTCCTTAATTCCTTGAAGAGCTTCAGGTTGGACTCGACGTCAGACTTTGATGGCTGAGTGCACGCCCCGAAGAGCTTGGCCGCCTTCTTCGAGCTTCTGGACTTGGATCGTAGACTGCCGATGGCGACGTTCGAGACTTCGGCCACCAGGTCGTCGATCCTGCTGCGCTTCTCGTGCGATTCCCAGGAGCCGCAGGAGAACGCGTAGAAGTCGTCGCATGGGTCCACGGACGCGTTTGAAGCCATTCTGAGGAGTTGGGCGTGAAGCATGCAGTCGTGACTGGTGCACACGGCGTGCGCTAGCATGGGTGCCTCTGTACTCATTGCGGCGACCAAGGCGGTGACCACGACGACGCAGATGCCGACGAACACGGTGAGCAAGGGAAGCACCAACGTGCTCAGGCCATTCGCCTGTCGAGAGTACGCGCTGCTGCAGGTACGCTGTGATGGGGGTGGTGCACTTACCTGTAACATTGCACAGAAAGACAGCCACCATAAGAATGGCAGCGTACGTATGCGAGATCGATGTTAACCGAAGTATCAACGGCCATATCAGCTGTCGTTAAAAATATAACCCTAGAGGTCGCTTTCACCCTACATTCTGATTGTTTCACTGGAAGCGAGATGGGAGGAATGGGTAGTGAGGGGGGGGGGATGCTGAGGTTATGTTTCTCTATCACCTCCAATCCCTAAAGGCGCACGCCTATGACTGTAAAACAGGTTACTTCTTGAAAGAGACTATACATCAATATTTTAACCCGGAATCCCTTCGACACTGCTGCTACTCTTATCAGCAACCCTGTGGGCTTAGTATCATCTCCTAACGATAAACTTGGGAACTTCAAAACGGTGTGCTTTCATGTTTACAGTATAGTGTTGTATAGCCAACGAAAACCTTGGAGGATTCTTATATTGGTCAAATAATCATTTTTTGAGCTAACGAAGCATGTGCGGGAACGAAACAGATAGTTAAGGACACGATAACGCGACGATAGTATATATTGTGTCACTAGCTCTGGATCAAGAGGTTATGGGTGGACTCACGATGGAATTTTAAACGCATGGCATCTCGATCCACTTTCCTCGGTGAATCGAGAGGTTATGCGCTTATATTTTCCCCGGTGTGGTCAAGTAAGTCATACCAGATAAACAATAAGACATTGTGAATGAGTGTTGCGTCATGCCTACCAGATTCAAGTTATCGTTCCGAATTATTAGCTATACCCTCGGCGACGACAACGCGCAACTTCAGCCCCGCCGCGGTGGTCTAGTGGCTAAGGTACTCGGCTGCTGACCCGCAGGTCGCGGGTTCGAATCCTGGCTGCGGTGGCTGCATTTCCGATGGAGGCGGAAATGTTGTAGGCCCGTGTACTCAGATTTGGGTGCACGTTAAAGAACCCCAGGTGGTCGAAATTTCCGGAGCCCTCCACTACGGCGTCTCTCATAATCATCAGTGGTTTTGGGACGTTGAACCCCACATATCAATCAACGCGCAGCTTCAAGCTTGCGACAGTTCAATTCAGTTGTACCAGGTATTCTGCGTGACATATATTCAATGAACCGGCATTACTCCCTCGTTACTTTAACGTAGCTTAGAAGTGTGGCAGCTTGGGCTAGTTGTATGGCATGACGATAGTTATAGCGCGAGAACAAAACGACGACACAGAGACCCTTCGTGTCCTTCTTGTCTCTGTGTCGTCGTTTTGTTCTCGCGCTATAACTATCTTCAACGTAGCGCTTATTTAGAACTTGTGAACTAACTGAACGAAATTTTCGCGCTGAATATTCTTACGCTTTCAGCTGTCTTGGACGGCGTAGTGGCACTGTCTTCTTGCGCAGTGCTGAGAACGACCGCACTTGAACTACTTCCTTGAACTGTGCTGAGCTTCCCTTGGCTTCGCTGTAAACACAGAAAACAGGACACAAGCAGAATGTAATCACCTACTCCGTGCATACATTTTTGTTGCATCGCTAACTTTACACACTGTCTGTAGTGCAAGGTGTTGTGCTCGCTGCAGGGACAGCGAGCGCACTTACGCTGCTCTGATGATCTCGCTGACGTTGGTTCGACCCGGTAGTCCTGCTGCTAGAGGTCGTACGCTGGTCACGTGTGGTCTGGAACTTGGTATCCCGACTACCGTACTCTGTCATGGCTGTGAAAGTTTTGTAGATTTGAACCCTAAAGGCATACAGGCAGAACAGCTAAGCACGAAGGGTCTTCTTCTTCTTCTTCTTCATAAGTTCCCACTGACCCCTCGCGCTTCCGGCGAGATGCTGGTAGGTAAAGTGAATAACAAAGTACATTCATGATGATGACGATGAGGAGGAGGAAAAGGAAAGAAAAGACGCGACATTCGCAGTTATAGATGGGAGCACGACTCAACGCCTCTAGAGGAACGGAGAGACTGTATTAATGACGTGGAGGATCGAAAGAGAAGAAAAAAGAAACAAAAAAGAAAACAGCCATTCATGATCATTAAACACATTCCTCTTAATTCCGCCTCAGCACTTTGATAATCAGCACGCAGCGTGTGGCGTTGTAGTATTGCTCAACAATGAACTTCATAACTAGAACATGAAGGAACGAATTGAACACTCGTGGTGGAGACGGCGAAAAATTCCTACAGGCTAACAGCGATGAAACAAATATGGCTCCATTAGATTCGTCGTCTATTCTTTATAATGAGTAGCCCTTCCAAACTACAAGCAATTGTCATTGCCATCTTAGTGTCACACAAGAACATGCAGTGCTCGCGATTTCTACGGGGCCAATTATGATGTCAGTATTAGTTTACTCGCCCCCTCCCCCCCCCCTCCAACTTCCCGCCCCCAATCATCTAAGAGGGGCGCGAAGCCTGCCTTGTGCCTTTACTCAGTCGGACCTGTCCCGCCATTAATGAAAGGGCATGGTTATGCTCTCGCAGGTGCTTTATGATAATGGCTGGTTTGTGCATCGTTAGGGGCCCATCGTTGTGACAGGCGTGTTATCGCTTCGCTTTTGCATTGTTTCTTCGGCACTAGAACAACGAAGGGGCCGAGAGGGAGGGAGTCAGTAGTGAAATTCGTTCCCTCCCCCCTGTCACTCAGTGGAATACCCTGCGTTTCTCTGCATGTGCGACCAGTGACAACTAGTCGCCAGGGCCAAAAGGAAAGTCGAAGCCAAAGCCAGAGGTCCGCTGGACTACGGAGCTTTACCCTGGCAAAGTGGTTCCAGGAATCACTTGGAATGTTGTGTCAACAAATGAACGTCGACTTCTCTCTTCCTCTCACTCGCTTCTTTAATGTGATTAGATTATGAAATACTGACGAGAAAACGCTTTTCAGCGTCTCCACATCAGCGTCTCCACATGTCCTTTAACAGCCGATGCCTAAGCCTTTAGATTAGCCAAGACATTTTGAGTGCAATGTTTAGAAGTGGCCCTATAGGGACCTGCAGGTAAGCTAGAGCTGGCGAACTTCCAGCGACACGTCACTTTACAAGGCCTAATTGGACAGCCGCACCATAACTGCGTGAATTACGTAAACTAGGTTAATTCCTTTTTGGCGACAGTTACTCACCAGCAACATTCTCTGACTAGGTCATACCTCTAAGACTGACCATCCGTCATTGCGCGAACAAGAATGCGTCAGTTTTCGCATTGTCTTTCTATTTTAGTGGCGTGAGTGCGTATTTTGTTAGTACGCGTCGCGTTTGTGCGTTTCGCCGTAAGCAAACAACCACCACGTTTTAATCAAGCGTCGCAAAAGTTGTATATACGAAACAATGATGACGCTCAAGACGGATTAGTGCTAAGGGGAGCGTCGCTTCAAAATAGCACGCTGGAGAAATAGGTGCGTGGACAATATGGCACCGAGACAAAAACTGCACAGGGTCACACGAGCTCAGTTGTGGAGACATAACAAGGGTGAAACATTACTGTGGGGAAAAACGGCGAGGACGACTGGTGGTGCAGCGAATGAACCAAACCGGGCACAGCACGAGCAAGCTTATGCATATGCCGGCAAATAACAGTATTTTGCGCAGTAGGGAGAAAATACCCCCGGTTCACTGACGCATAAACGCATGAGCACGGGGTCATCCGTCGTTCTTGTGTAATGTAGTGAGGGGTTGTATGCACACACTACCCGTCGGTATAAATCGTAACCCTCAAACCATATAGCGGTCGTAACTAGTGTTATTGGATTGGATAAACTTTTATTTTTATTGGATAAACTTTTATTGTAACTAGTGTTATGGTTGGTATGTTACTGATAATGTCCGCACACTTCGCATTTACTACCGGCCCTACGCCTTTCACCGGCCCTCCATTTATCTACCGGCCCTTCATATTTTACTACCGGCCCTCCATTTATCGTTGCCTTGTGCAGCGAGCTCCATACAAGTTTGTTAATTTATGAAGAGATGACAAAATTAAACCAGTTTCTCGCCGTCAAAACATTCAAGTAATGAATCTCTAAGGATGATGACATCTCAAAAATTATAATTTCAACTACAACAATGGTAATCGTGACGCTTTATTTATTTGTTTACCCAGTCACTTCATCTGTGTTTATGTGACCTGCACGACGATGACGACAACGACGACGACGACGACGACGACGACAACAACAACAACAACAACAACAACAACAACAACAACGAGAACGAGAACAAAAACAACAACAACAACAACAACAATGAGAACGAGAACAAAAACAAATATACTACTACTGATGATGATGATAATACTATTCTACACTACTACTGCAACTGCTGCCGCGGCTGATGAGACTACTACTACTACTGTCCCAACGTGGGTGCGGCTCGCAGCCGACTCGCCCTCTTGAAGGGCGTTCGCTGACTGCTGCTACTACTACTACTACTACTACTACTACTACTACTACTACTACTACTACTACTACTACTACTACTAATACTACTAATACTAATACTACTAATACTACTACTACTAATACTACTACTACTACCACGACGGCGACGAATAATAATAACAAGAAGCAGTGCTGCTGAAGTCAGTTTCGACTGGCGGACTTGCAAGGTAGCAACGAAGACAAGTCAACCTGCAGAAATGTTGGCGCCAACGGCATTGCATGTTCGAGAATTTTTCTCGTCTCTTCAAACGTGAACATCCCGTGAACTTTCACCTTGTCGAAATTCGTGAAATATGTTTCAGTGTATGTGCATACAGGTGTACGTACATTGATTGTCACCATAGCTATGTGGGTGCCTATATGCCGCAGATCAGCGGAATTCCACCGCTTCGCCAACTATGCGCTTGGGACGGGCCAGCGGGGGCGGCTTCATCCTTCGGCTCTGAGTCAGGGCTTCGCACCTCGAAATAACTCTTCAACTCTAGCCCCCTCGGTTCACACCAGGGCCCCAAAGAACACCGAGACTTTTGTGTGCGGCACCGTTCCACTTGACTTGCACTTCAGACCCCATGCCTCGCATTGTTAGCCAAATACTTTATCGCTTTCCCGTTGACTTTCTGGACAGCTCGTTCGTCGGGCCACGGGCCCGCGTGTTGATACTCGGCCGGCCGAAACTAGTAGAGGGCGCCCGAGTAGTAGGTGGAGGCATCGTCAACTCCGCGGATGACAGCTGTCGCGAGAGATTTGGCGACCTGGATAGGAGCACCCCGTCGCGAACCGTTTCGCACCCGCGTGCCACGCCTCCGTATAGTGCGTTTTGCGCAATTCGCGCGCTTCACTGGGCACACGTTTTCTCTAGGAGGAGTGACCTAGGCGGCACGCTGAGAACACGCGCTTGGGATTCTGAGCACATGCCGCTACTGTCAGCCACTGAACCCCGCGTTCTCATCCTCGGAATCCGCGAGCTCGAACCTATTAACGGGATTCCGCCTGTACACAAGGTCAATGGACTCTACGCTTCCGACTGCGACAGAGTTGGACTTCTGCCGCTCCTTTCCCTACAACAACAAAGAGCACCTGTTTGTCCATTTGGAAAAGAAAGGAAGAACAAATGTTTGGGGATAGGAAGTGGGGACTGAGAGGGTATTTCTATTCCGTTACAGTGTAATAGACGCCCAACCTAACGGGAAAGTGCTAGTACATGTAGCTCGACGAGAATAGCAGGGCTCTGAGTGCTGCTATACAGTAAATTTTGCGGGCTGCGGTTTTGCCCAAGTACTTACTTGTGTGCGATTTCCTGTTCGATAATGCGATTGTTAACAGCCTCCGCCAATTGTAATGTCACAGCTTTAGACGACTGCTGCTGCAAATTGTCGGGATGCTTGTGATAGCCAAATAAAAAAAATCCTGCAACCGTCGTTTCTTTTATGCGGCGTTTAAGGATTAGTCTCAAATATCACTTGCGAACTTCACCATTCTCATTTAAAAAAAATAGCTAAATGAAGCGAGAAATGAATGTTTGTTCAAGGCTGCATTTCTATGGCCGTTTTTACCTTCCTTTAGGCCGTTTTTACAAAAAAAAAGAGAGAAAAAAGCAGAGCCGCCGTTTTTACCTTCCTTTAGATTGCTTTTACAAAAAAAAACAGAGAAAAAAGCAGTACCGAGTCATTTATTCTGTGATGGTGAAAACGAAATCGCGTTATCAAGGTTTTGTGGTCGCACTCACTATGTGGTGTTGGCGAGTAAGCAGGCAATGCCATCGTTCAAGAAGCTCTTCTCTTTCCACGCAATCATTAACGCACTAAATCCAAATATTTACCCACTAAACCCGTTGGTTAGTGGGCAAGTTGGACGAAATGCTGTTACAATAAACAGGGTCCCAATTAAGGCGTTCACGTAGAGGCAACAACAAAAATATGACAAGATTGTTGATCTCGAGTCTTGTAAGAAGCCAGGACTGGTGTTGCTTAGTCTCGGAGAGTTTGTAAGTTGCCCGCTCTTGCATTGTTCGAGATTATCTCACTTCTACTCCCGGAATAGGTCATCATTTAATACCTATGTCACACAACGTGTGTAGAACGAAGAGGGTGTCACATGAAAAGTCTGTACTAAATGTTGGCCTTATTTACTGGAGTGTACCGAATGCTCGCAAATGGGTGCGCTTCACGGTGTTTGGAGGATGAAAAATATGAATAGACAATACAGGCAATAATCTTGCCTACTCTTTATGTCTATCATCGAAACATTGTTAACTGCTATTGAGCTTCTTGCGGGCCACGAGCCCGAAATAAACTTAGTAAATAGTGTAATGTGTGTGTGTGTGTGTTTCTTATCAAGTGGTTGATTGTATATATCATAATCACCAGCCAGCACCTTAAGTAGCGTATGTCCAGCTTTTCATTAAAACGTTTCTTTCTCTCTCTCTCCCTCTCTTTCTACCAACTCGCTCAAGCTCCTATTCTAATGTACTGACTACCTTTCGATTGTACTCGTGTATTATTGGTCTGCAATATTGTGCTCCATCTTTCTTGTTCACCTTCACTTGTTGCGCAAAATGAAAAAAAAAATCGTACACCTTATATACCGTTTGATTTTGCTGCCATTCATACTTAGCTTGTCTTTCTCTGCTTGTTGATATTCACAGGCACCCCATCTTGACGGAACTCACCAACATCGTTTCGAGAAGCCGCTATTGCGAAAAGGCCCGGAAATCGTGCGAGTACGGCGGCAACCAAGGTGCACGATCCTCGAGCCCGAAAAGAAGAAGAAAAAAAAAAAGAGGATGAGAGCGAAGCCCCTGCCACCGTGCCGTACACCGCAGCGGAGCCCGTTATGGGAACCTGAGCCGGGGTTCATTTTCCCTCTCTCGTAGACGAAGGGCCCTTCTTCACCGGGACGTTTCTTCAAAGCACGCACTCGGGCGGCGCTTGCAGCGGGCTGCCGCCGCGGTAGCCCCTGGTGAGGAGCGAACTATCTTTAGTAAGCACTCCCCCACTCACTCGTCCCCCCCTCGCTTCATGCCCGACGGTGAGGGCGTTCCTGGAGCCCTGGGCGGTGGACCTTAGTCGTGGTCTGTCCCGGCTCTTCGCTGCCGCCGTCTACCCGCCGCTGCTGTGGTCAGTACAACCCTCACGCTTTCATCGCCTTGGCTGCAACCGCACGTCGTAGTTCGTCATGGCTTACCGTGGTCCGGCGTACGGTCTCAGCGCGCAGATCGCCAGCAAGGTGAGGAACTGCACGAAAAAGGAAGTTCGCGTTCAGTTTGGTTGTCGGCTTCCTTTCGGGGCTTGGAGAGGATCCGCTGCTCCTCGCCATCCCTCAAGTCTTATCGCCTAGCATCCTCCGCGAGGCTGACGACCCGACGGAGAGCTCCTTTTTAGCTTGCCGCGGCTTTGGGCTTAAGTGCAAACTCGCCGAGACAATAAGGGAGGCTCGTGCTGCGGGGTGTGTACAGCCGATAGCGTAAGCGAGAGCCTTCACAGAGGGCGTAATGTCTGTGGAGAAGTCGTTACAGACACTCGATGGAACGAGATTAGACTTGAGGGTCGCCGAACGACCTCCTCCTGGAGAGGCATAGAATGAAAACAACGAACGTGACGGCCGTTTAAGTCCGAATACGGTGCTTTTTTCTCGAGCTACGAGTCATAAACAGAATAGAGAAATGAAACTGATATAGCAGGCAGTCTTTTTTCTTATAGTTGTGCAACTGTTTATCTTTTTTTATTTCCTATCATATATCATCATATTATATGTCGTTAATCGTGCACTTAGTAGATTTTTGCAAAGAGCAAGGTTGACACAAAGTGCTCTCCGCAGGCACTGCACATTACGAGAGTTTGGTCGAAATTTGCAGTAACGCCGGTAACTCCTACATAACGTATCTACAACAACTGGATAAAGAAAAGAGGCTTGGTGAACACTGATGGTGAGGAGCTGACTTGTTTACTTGATAATGGCTCAGTCGATTTTTATATAAAAGAAATCCTTCATTACATACGCGCAGTTTCAAATTTTGAAGCCATTGACATGATTATAACAAAAAAAATGAAATGAGAGGCAGCGGGAGAGCTGTAAGATGCAAAACAAAAATTTGTATGGTATTCACTGTATTGTAATAACGATGCATACTAGATGCGCAAAAACACAAGAAGCAAGGAGGAGGAACCCACATCGGAAAATACTTTTCTCGCCCCTATTACAGATATGTGGGGTTTAACGTCCCAAAACCACCATATAATTATGAGAGACGCCGTAGTGGAGGGCTCCGGAAATTTCGACCACCTGGGGTTCTCTAACGTGCACTTAGGGTTCTCTAACGTGCACTCAGTTCGGAGCACTCGGGCCTTCAGGATTTTTGCCTTTATCGAAAATGCAGCCGCCACAGCCGGGATTCAATCCCGCGACCTGCGGGTCCACTGCCGAATACCTTGGCCACTAGACCACCGGGGCGGGGCTATTCTCACCCCTATGTGGTGCCTAAAAAGATGCAGAGTCTAACAAACACTTTCGTACCCTCAGTAATATATCAATTGTGCGTAAGCGTACGTGTAATAATCCCTCTTACTGTTTCTTTTTGTTATTGTTGTTGTTGGTTTATTGATCGCTTCAATTGAAATCCCATACCAAGGTCGCGCAGCTGTCAGTCTTTCAATTATAGCTCAGCAATCCATGGGCTTTGATCGTGACTCATACGTGTTCTTTCATTATTGTAGCACGAATTTTAATTTTTCTTTGGTGGAGCACACGGGTTCTGATTTTCTGTGTGACTGTGGTCTCGCTCTTATTTTTATACACACGCAGAAAACTTCTTTCTATATTTGGTTCTGGAGCGCCCCCTACATTGTATATAACATGGGTTACATGACGTAACATCCACAAGCCATGTGCGGAGATTTTCTCGACTGAGGAGGTCTTTGTAGATTAAAGAAAAATAATACTCCAAAAACTAACCAGTGATGCAAAAAAAAAACACTAAGTTGGCTAGAAAGAATACCTCACATATATAAGTGCCCAGACTTTGTTTTATTTGTGTTAAGCGGATAAAAATAGTCACTAAACTATATAGAATATTGACAGTGCCTAAAACTCTGATAAAAATGCACTCAGTAAACTTCATTTCCATCTACTAACCCATTTAGTATCCCCATGTATAATAAATGTATGATACATGAAATCAATTGTAATCACATCCTTGCAAGAATGGTCACAGCTCGCAAGCTCATCAGGTTCTGAAGTTGCCCTTGAAACCGCGGAAATTTTTTCTGGTTGTCAGTTGTTTGGATAGGTGAGGCAGTCAAAATAAACTCGTGGAATAAACGGAACGGGCTCGGCGCTTCCTTGTAAGCAACTGTGAAGTTCCTTCATTGTGTTTATTATTTCGTAATTATTCTTGTGGTTGCGTTGAAGTGCCTGTTTATTTAACGCCGCTGTACTTGTGCTCACAGTTAGACGCCGTGTCTTTGTTATTAGCGATAAAGAATTACTCCTAAAATTTAAAATAGTACATATAAAACGGCAATTTTTTTGGTGTAGATAATAATCACATTTCGCGAACTGAACACGATTCGCAAACAAAAAAAAAAGAAAAAAAATTTCTTGCGATGCGATGCATCGGAAAGTTGTTGTTTCAGTGTGCGTGTGTTTGTGTGTGGAGATAGGTTGACATGTAAAAAAATTTTCACGGGTGCGGGGTTGTGAGGAACAGTACGCCGTTTAATGAAATGTATTCTGGTATAAAGAAAGTTAATGAGAGGGGAGTGAGAACTGCAGGTTAGACATTCCCTGGCTTCTCCCATAGTCGGGCGTGTTCGAAGTGATGATTGATGATCATCACGACCACCACCAAGCGATCAAGCGTTGCTTTTTATCCTCTAAGCATTGATTTATCCTGTCTACGGCGTCATCTACCTCGGTCGTACGTATTGTTCAATGTGTATATTCAATTTTTAGACACAGATAGTTAATTGCAAAATTTTTATTCGTATATCAGAAGAAATTTGATTTTTCAAGCTTATTTTTTAATTGGCATCATGAGAACAATGACTGTCCTTCATTTATTCGTAACATTTGGCAGCGCCGTGACAACTGATCGTGAAGGAAAAGCGTTTACCCCATAATACACGAAAGCGATACTGGGCTTTTCATAACTACTTATATTTTACAATTTTGTAGCTTGGTTTTTTTTTTAACTCCTGTGTAAAGCGCTTTGGAGTAATCTGACAGTGCTCACTCAACGTTGCGAGCGTTTTTTAAATACTTTTGTTTTACGTTTCACCGTGGTGCTCGGTTTCGTCTAGACGACTCAGCCTGTGGGTGTTATTTATTGCCGACGGCACAGCCAAGGAGTGAAGAACAACGCTTCGCAAAACAAGCCAAAAGGCAATGCGTAACCGAAGACGCGTTTGTTCTTGTTTTTACTGACGCTAGCTGACGCGTCGCAAGTCCGCCAATACGGTGGCCCGGAACCCGTTTACTGAGGTAGTTCGTCTTCCCCGTCTCGCAGGGCAGCGAGCAAACGCTAAAGCCACTCGTGTCACTTGTTCGTTAAGAAAGCGATCTATCTTAGGACCGTCTTCCACACAACTTAAAAAAAGAAGGAGGAATACATAACCAGCGACGCGCCTTCTTTTCTGTTTCGGTTTTCACGCCAAGCTATCTTTTGGCGCGCCTACCACGCCAACGGTGACTGTACGCTGAGACAAGAGCCTTCTTTGAGAGTGAATGTTAGACGGGTTTTTCTTTCGATTGCTTGGTAAAGTCTGCGCTGTCGTCGCACAGAACAAGAAAACACGGCTACTGGAAACAATGTTTGTTTCACAAATCGCGTGATGAAGGTGCTGTCCCGACTGCAACTTCATGGTCAGTAAAAAAATGAAACAGTGAGAGTTGAAACAACTACGTTCGTTCTGCTAAAAGTTTTACTTTTCTCCCTGAGAAGCAGAACAGTCCTGCTGGCTCGAACTCCACACATGGACTAGGGTCGCAGTGTTCGTTGCGCACTGACGAGCTCTCTGGCATGGCAACGAAATAAGCGTCCTCACAAGGCATCCTTAATATCGTGTTACTTTCTCGCTTAACTTGCTCTGCATTTCGATTTCCATAAGAATTCTGAAATCAGCGTTAGTTAGGAAATGCACGACATTTGAGGCGAGTGCCACTTTTTTTATGAACGCGAAAGCTTTATAGATGCCTCATCAAACGCAAAAGATGACCGTCACTGGCGTCAACTCAAATAAAAAAAGATCATGTAATGGCGTAACCCATTGATTCCATCATGACGTCAAAGATCACCAAAATGTGACGTCACTATGACATGACGATATTTATAGCGCGAGAACAGAACGACGAATAAGAGACAAGAAGGAGACGAGCGCTGACTTCCAACTCTGGACGTTTAAATTTAGCGCTCGTGCTTGGTTCTTGTCCTTTTGTGGTCGTCATGTTCTCGCGCTATAACTTATCGTCATGTCATACCAACTAGCCCGAACCGCCACACTTCCATGTCACTATGACGTCACACAACGATATCTTCACGTGACATTGGAGCTTGTTGAAAGGTGGGCCGATAACCCCGCCGGGGTGGTCTAGTGGCTAAGTGACTAGGCTGCTGACCCGTAGGTCGCGGGATCTAATCCCGGCTGCGGCGGCTGATTTTTCGATGGAGGCGAAAATGCTGTAGGCCCGTGTGCTCAGACTTGGGTGCACGTTAAAGAACCCCAGGTGGTCGAAATTTCCGGAGCCCGCCATTACGGCGTCTCTCACAATCGCATGGTGGTTTTGCGACGCTAAACTTCACATATCAATCAATCAATCAATCAATCAATCAATCAATCAAAGGTGGGCCGATAATAAGGTTCTCGGCTGCTGACCCGAAGGTCGCACGTTCGATTCCGGCCGCGGTGGTCGCACTTTGTTGGCGGCGAAGTGGTAAAGGCCCTTGTACTGTGTAATAAAGAATACCAGATGGGTCTAATTTCCGGAGCACTGCGTGATAATTATTGTGCGGTCTCAAGTCGACGCCGGCTTTTCTCTCAAGGCCACCTCCGCATGAGTCATGTTGACGCCCCCGTTTTATCAACAGCTGATTCCTAACAGTCGGAGAATTCGACAATGCGGTGTAAATGTATAGCATGCATTCCTAATGCGGTATGCAGCAGGATGATTTGATCGGCGGCGCCGCACACGCATAAACAGTAACTCGCTTCCTGCGTCAGTGTCCGTTAGTTGCCGTGTACGCCAACACATTGAAGACACAGCCTCTCCCTCCTCCTCCATGCGTGAAGGCGTGAGTCAGCTGTGGGCTGGCAGCTCTGCACCACGGCTGGAGAACCGCCAAGAGAGAAACCATTCCGCGTTTTCTTTTTCTTTTGTTGGTTTTTCCCCACTCCAAGTACTCCTCGGCCTGCTTGCCTACGGTGTTCATGTGTATGTGAGCCTGTGTACCTCTGGTGAAGTCTGACTCAGCGAGAGTCACGTTCAATGAGTCTTCTTGTTCGCTCGAATGGAGCTGGCCGAGCATAAGTTCCGGCTTTGCGAGGCAAGCTTTGTCTGTCTTTTTTTTTTCTTCGCAGCGTCTTCACCCGTGCTCTCAAACAACAACGGCCAAGGGCATCAGTCACTGTCAAGGCAGCTGCCATGTCTGAGATTTCATGAAATATATGAAAGGCAGAAGATTTCGATATGTCAAATTTAAACTGAAGTAAAAGCCACAAAGTGTCCTCTTGGAGCAGTGAGCCAAGTAGCTACGAGTACAAACTGAACTGCTCTAGTGCACTCAGGGCTAAAAGTAAAACTCCAAAACGTGTCGCTCTCAGTCCGTCACTATACACATGTGTGTTAGTATACCCTAAAAACATGCAATGCATTATCGTTTCATAAGGTTACATACCAAGCATTTGCCTTTACCTTGGTGAATGCTTTACCGATGTTTATACATGAAATGTGGATTAGGGCAACTTTTTCGAGCTGCTCGTTTCTTTGTAAGACGCAACAAAGTAAATTTGGCAGATAATTAAGTGAGGGAAAGCGCTGTGGACATTAATTGTGGTCTCTAATTGAAGTGTGGTAATCATGACGTAAATTGGAAGGAATCAAAGTCAGCCTTTTCGTCGGTGGTATCCGTACCGCCGATTTTCGTATCGCGCGTGCGATGCTCTTCCTATTAGGCTATTTTAATTGAGCTATTACCGTTTAGGCTTCATTGGGTAAATAGTTATTCGAACACCTTGGATTCTAATTACACCGAAGGCAACAGCAATTCTCGGTTCTCGTTAATTAATTTCATTTTCCAATTAATTCACTATAATCAAAAACAACAATCAAATGCAGGCTATAGCTAATTTTTAAAAACTTACGACGCCCACTCGCTAAAAGAGCCGGCAAAACGGTAGCTGTCCTTCGTAATGCGCATTTCAAAAAATAAATAATAACAGAAAAAAGAAAAAATATATGTATATATATATATCTTGTTCTTAGATGAAATGTTTATATTGTTTTTATTTAGAATTAGACGGTGAGAAGAGACGCCAACTATGCCTCTTCCTTACGGTGCTGTGCATTTATTGACTTTTTTTTACAATCGTAAGTTTCTTTGTTGCAGTAAAAGCTACCACAACTGATCAATATTGAAGGTCATTCAGTTGTATCATGCATATTCTTATTATAACCACTTTCACTTCTAATCATCGTTAATTACAGCACTGTTAGTGCCCAAACTGAATTGAAATTGAGGCTGTTCCCTCATGGACCTGGTATTTTACATATGTATGCGTAAGAGCAATTGTTGACTAGTTTAGCTGTAATACTGTGCTACATGTCAGCAAAACATGTATATTGGCATAATGTGGCGTGACACGCAGGGGGAACATATTCAAATCAGTGCGAATTCAAATTAATTTTAATAAAAGAAAATACTTGTTTTGTCAACCATATAGTCACGTATGGTATTATTCCAATGCGCTTCCGTCGTTGATCTGTGCGGAAAGCGGACAGTATTGCTCAAGTATTTCATAAATTGAAAATACTGCGTAGTGACGTCATCTGTGCTTTTTATCCGGTTTGCGATTCATTCTTAACATAAATGGTGCACCGCCGACCTGTTTGCCGTATGCGCCATTTTTATACCACTTGTTTCTCCTTGTGTCACCGCAGATCGCATCGAAACGGGATCCCGAACTGGAATCTCAGATCTTAGACTGGATTGAAGAGGTGCTCGAACAAAGACTTCCTCAGGGACCATACGAAGAAGTGCTTCGAGATGGAGTTGTATTATGCAAGTAAGTTGTAACAAGCGAAGCCATTGAAGATTTCAGTGGCTTTTCACGGTTGCAGTGTTACGATTTTTTTTGTAAGTGTTTCCTTCTGGTTCTCACGTTATTATTATTATTTATTTGCACCTCGTATACGCCAAGCAGTTTTAACAATTGCGCTTTTATAGAAACGCAGTTTAGCAGGTTAGACTATTCACGATATTGTGCAAAGATCACTGTGGTTGTGTAATTCTACAGTTGTGAACGACTTCGTAAGTGATTAGTGCAGACAATAATATCACCGTATTCACTACAATGAGTATTTTACTGCATCCGACCAAACACAGAAGCATTGAGGGCGGAGACGATGTGAATTGAAAAGCTGCTCTACACGTTAACAGTATTTGGTTAAAAATAGTCAAAATGCTAGTCGTCTTACGCGAAAATAGAACTCGTCTTAGCGGCCACATTTTAACGGGGCAAAAAAAAATAATTTGGCTCATTAGCCAGGTCACTTGTTACGAGTAGATTACGATTTTTTTTTAGAAATATGAGAACAGCGGACGGTTCCTTCTTCCCAATCTCATTCCTGCATCAGCTCGTTCGTCGACATTGTATAAACTTGTGATTCCTACTCCAACTCCAAGTCGAGCCTTCGCATTCCTGAAAAATTCTGGCCTCGTCCGGACTGTCAGTTCTCTCGAGACGGGATGTTTATATCGGTGAGTGGAGGATACGAAAGAGGGGACACGGGCGTATTTTGGTGCCGACTGGAGAGATATGTTTTCATTAGTGCTGCCGAGCCAGAAGCCTGTGGAATGGTCGCGCGCTGCCAAATCTTGCCTCGCCTGAGTTTCGAGGACACTGGCGTCCTGACAAAGAAGAGGAAAGGGGGGTGGACGCATTCGTCCTCGGGAATAACAGGTGCTGCCACTATAGCGAGAATGCGCCTCCCATCCCAGCCTTCTCGCCATAATACGGATGATACGAATCTCAAAACCTGCGACGGGAACGCGCTGCGCTGCAGGAGCGTGTGTTTGCCAAGAGGCAAAACCTTGGGAGCTCAGGGAGCATTAATCAGCGTGACGTGGCGATGCCATTCGTAATTTCTATTCCTCGGGGTCTGAACAGTTAGCGCAGGAATATATACGCTTCGTGATGGTCGCCCCTGAGACGCATATAACTGAATGCGAGGACTCGCTTATAACGACACGAGAGAAAATATCGGAGAGGATAGCTATAAGCTGGAATTCTAAAATAGCTGCTACGTTTCACCTTGCGACATATTTCTGTGGGGAATGTGGCAGATAGTAATGAGCTTGCGGATGTTTTTAGAAGCTAATTACACGAAGCGAAAGCTTAAGTCGGTCGGCATTAGGGTGCCAAGTGTTGCCAATGACTACAGTGAAATTGACTTACGATTTTGTCGGAAATTTTAGTAGAACAGTCCCAACATATCTGGAGTTACCAGCACCCTTAAATATATGATCACTTGTGCCCCGCCGCGGTGGTCTAGTGGCTAAGGTACTCGGCTGCTGACCCGCAGGTCGCGGGTTCGAATCCCGGCTGCGGCGGCTGCATTTCCGATGGAGGCGGAAATGTTGTATGCCCGTGTGCTCAGATTTTGGTGCACGTTAAAGAACGCCAGGTGGTCGAAATTTCCGGAGCCCTCCACTACGGCGTCTCTCATAATCATAAGGTGGTTTTGGGACGTTAAACCCCACATATCAATCAATTATATTATCACTTGTCTCCTTTGTTGATGAGAAAAAAGGAACAGTAGAGAGGGAGAGCAAAGGCGGGAATGTTGACCAGTCTATAAAAATATGCTACCCCACGCTAGGAAATTGGAGACGAGGGTTCGAATACTAGAGCTAGAAAGGAGAGGCCCAGACACGCAGTGACGCACCTCACAGTCACAATGTTGTTGTTGGTCTATAACGGCTGCTGAAAGACCAATTGGCGCATGACTACGCGTCACGTGTGAACTTGTTCAAACTTGCAACGCAGGGCTTTTTGTCGGTAGTGTTAGAATCGCTATGCACCCCTGTGATGAGCCGTACGGACAAATCTTCATCTTGCACTCTCGTTCGCAGTACCAGCCATGCGTAGGTTGTAAACTACACTGGCTTTCGCAAATAACGTGCATAACGTACAAATGACCGAATATCAGTGGGTATGGCTTTGATCTGTCGAGCTTAAAGTCACGCTTTAAATTGTTGATGCGATGGTGGTGGAGTATCAAACCATTCCTTGATTATCCTTCAGTGCACGTTCAAGAACATTGGGCAGTGTAAATTGATCCGGAGTCTCTCATTGCGGTGCGTCTGATAATGAAATTGCAGTCTTGGCACTTAAAGCAACATAACTCAATTTTAGGGAGTGTACACTTCGCACTCACTTGGCTTTTCACGGAAGCAGAACATGATCTGCTGTTTATAAAAAAGTGTACGAGGCTATTGCTACATGGCTTACTAGCAACTGTACTAGCCGTTTGACTAATGGTATCTTCCTCTCTGATTTCTGTGACTGAACGGGCTATGATGGCATCTCTAATGACGAATGCGTATTTCCAATAGCAGAGCCAGATAAACAATCTCTGCTCCGAGTGGAGCAATCATATTCTAATGACAGATTGAGAGCGCGAATTGGGAATTCCAATGGCAGATTGTGAGCAACCAACACTTGCGCATTGCTCCGTGGAGCAAAAATTTTCGCTTCGTCGAAATCGGTGGATTTTCCCGCAAGTTCGCGTGACGTTTACTCTGTGCGCCCGCCTTTCTCCACGTCACGTCTGGTGTTTGAAGTCTCGGTCAGCCATGGACGGGCAGGAGAACGCTTCACCCTTCTCTTCCTCACATCCTCTCACGCCCCCTCGCCAGAGTTTTGTGTACCGACTGCTCCCATCGAGGAACAAGCGTTGCAATCGCAGATTTGCGATAACGATCCCGCTACGTTGACGACCCAGCCTAGCGATCGCACTATGTGATTGGAATTCAGCATAAAGTAATGCATGCAGACGTTTTTCGTCAACGAACTCCGTAAATTCACTGTTGCGCTCAATGTACAAGCAAAAGTCTACGGGTTCAGGATGTTTCAGATATCGGACACACATTTTGACGCAGAATAAATGCCAGGTCTCCTTCCCATGTGTCCGCTGACATTCTCGGCGTGCTGTCGCAGGCTCATGAACGCTCTGAACCCGGGCTGCATTCCAAAGATCAACACGACGGGCGGCCAGTTCAAGAAGATGGAGAACATTGTGCTGTTCCAAAACGCGGCCAAGGAGTGGGGTGTGCCTGACCTCGACGTCTTCCAGACCGTCGACCTCTGGGAGCGGAGGAACATCCCGCAGGTCTCGCAGTGCATTCTAGCACTGGGACGAGCGGTGGGTACATACTTCCATGGCACTCCCTGATGTTGTTTAGGTGTCCTAACTAGTACGTAACGAAAGCCTTCGCGTGAACTCCGTGTTTGTAGGTTGTATGGTATATATACATATATATATATATATATATATATATATATATATATATATATATATATATATATATATATATATATATATATATATATATATATATATATATATATATAGTCGCGCGACAGCGGTCGCAATCCTCTGTACCAATCAGACGTCCAGGAATAGATAGATCATCAGCTTATTTTATGGAGCAACGGCAATGCGAGCGGACTTGAATTCTACGTGACGAAAGGTGCAAAATGTAAAAATGCACGTGGATGTGAACATCGGCTGTGTAGAGTTGCCTTCAGATCACCGGTCGCAAATGGTCGCACGACCAGTGGTGGGAATAAAGGCTCCCTCTGGTGACATTTTCCCTGCTATTCTCCTTTCTCTAACTCACTCTCTCTCTCTCTCGTCATCCTTAACGATGCCAACATTCTTCGATTCGCAGTGCTACCTGCACCCTGAATACCAGGGACCTTGCTTGGGACCCAAGCCGGCGGAGGAGAACAAGAGGAACTTCAGCGAACAGCAGCTCAGAGCGGGAGAAGGAATCATCAACCTCCAGTACGGCACCAACAAGGGCGCCAACGCGAGCGGCATCAACTTCGGCAACACGAGACACATGTAACGCCCCGACATTTTCGAAAAAAAAAAAAAAACGAAAGGAAGAATCGTCGCATTCTCCTTCACTCGACGGCTCCCTCTTCATCTCTGCGCGAAACGGGCGATCGCGTCGGCGTCCACCTTAATGCGTCATCGCCTCGTCGCTTTAACGATTTGACGGTTGCGCGATTCGTGGTCGATGGCAGGCCACCGTACGATCTACGTGAAGCGCGTTTGGCTCCTCAACTTGCCATGCAAATACTTAAGGGGACATTAAACAGACACGATCAATTAGTTTTGACTGATAAAACCATACTTGGAAAAATTCTACCGTCGCTAATTTCATCATACCGGGTTTATTAAGAGAAAAAAAAAAGAGAAAACTCAAAGTGAATGTTCCAGGCTTCGATTTTAATGACGTACTCTTACACGTCAGCATGACGTCATAAATTTGAGTGTTTTTTGTGTTATTTCTTTTGTTCTGAGGGGGGAGGGATTTCGCCCACATTGGTTCAACAAAAGTAGCCTATACTTGAGATGTTAAAGCTATGGCCCGCTTCTGGGAAAGCGTACGTCGTATTTTTTTTACCCCTCAGAAAATAATGCAAGCGCCAGTAGACACCTGAAAAATTTTTTGACGTCACGATGATTGGTGTGGGAACTTTTTTTTCTTTTTGTGTATTGCTTTTCGCACGTCTTCTCGCTTAGCAAGAGTCCTCTCGTGGAAGGGCTGGTGATTTTGGCATTACGAAACAGCATTTTACAGATTCGAGAGAAATGGTTTTTCTCTTTAGTGCCCCCTTAACATTGACACTTGGCGTACCTGTTGGAGCGTCATTGTTATATCGGCAACACTGTCTACAGAAAATGTGGCGAAGAAACGCAAATAGTCATCGTCAGTATTGTTCAACGTAACCAATTGATAGCCCAAGCCTTCATCATATTCGATATGTGTGCAGTGAAGAAGAGAAGATTGAGAGAAGTGGCACTAACACACACAAATGTAGCCTGAAATAAAGGTGGCCCATTGTGAAAACACGCAGTGCTTTGTTATTGTGGTGCTTCGGCTGTGTCTTCCTTCTTTGCGCACCTTTGTTGTGTTTTTTCATTATTCCCATAAGAAATAAACGGACACTCGAGGCACACTTTTGCCGTCACCGTCATGTTTCGTATTACGTCCAAATCGACCGCATGCATCGCCCGAACTTCGTATGTTCTTTGTGCGGCTTCGCGAAAGCGTTTGATGCGTGTGGCTCAAGCAGCGATGAAAAGCGCCGGCGGCTTTGTTGGTTGAAGGAGCATGAAATGGTGCTGGGGGAGAGGGAGGGAGGCTGTGTCGCTTGGACAGCAACTGCGAAGTTTTATTGATATTTCATTTTTTGACAGTTTCAATATGTTATACGAAAGCTTCCAGAAAATATTTGATCAAGAGAGCGTCACCCTTTGGGTTGCAGGTACGAAGGAGGCTGTGAGCCAAGTTTTAAATTTGAAATGCGAGTGGTGGCATCACGAATATTTCCCAAAAATTGTGGATTTTTAATAACGCAGACAATGTGGGCGTGTTCCAACAAAAGTGTAAACAGCTTTTGACACTTCGTTTGCTGCCGCGAAAATGACCAACTGACTTGTCGAAACATCGACTCTTCCAACACGTATGCTCAATGATATCGTGTTTCTTAAAGCCCCCACCTTCCGGTGAGCTTCTGCCTCGTTTAGCTTTAACGTCGAACCAATTTAGGCTACCTGTATCTTGTGCGCTGTCGTGCGAATTTCCTCAAGTGTGCCATATAAATTGGGCAAGCACGGAGCACAGCAGGTGCGATCGTTAATTGAAAGACCTGTGCGGTGAAGTGGAGCGCATGAAAAAGAAAAGGAAAGAAATGTGGAGAAATAAAAAATAAGGATAAAGAAAAAACTGTTAGAAAGAGAACAAATAGAGAGAAATAGAGACATAAAAAGATGGAGGACATGGAAAAAAGAAAGATGGAAAGAAACGAACATGAAAGGTAGAAAAGGCAGAGCAAGGCAGAGAGAAAGAGATAATGATAGAACGAGAGAGGGAAGAAATAGAAATATAGAAAGAGCGGGAAGGAGGAGGAAATAGACGAACACTTATGGAAACAGAGAAACAGAAAGTGAAGAAATAAAGGTAAGGAAGTCCACCCTGCTCTTCCTTAACGGGCCACTCCCCAGGCCCCATACCGAATTTTAGTTAGACAGTGGAAGTTGTTGGGTGACTGATGATGAACATCTTGCCACACATTTTTTTTAATTGGTTCATCACGAGCGGAGAAAACAGGTTTCTTGAAGGGGCGCGAAACGAGGATGAGAGGAGGCGAGCTCGAAACCCTTGCCGCTTCTCCGCGTAGCCTTCGCAAGCCAAATCTCTTCCCCACCCTCTCCGGCATCCGACCAAGAGGTGACGTGCGTATGACGTGCCCAAACAATTCCAACCCCCGAGCACACGAGCAGCGTTACTTTGTTGACCAGCGTTATTTTGTGGTCTTGTGCCTGTTTCTGCATGATGGTTTGGAAACGCTGGCTTAGACGTGGTAGAGTAGATGAGCACAATGAGTGCGCCAATGCGTAGGAGCGTTCCACGGCGGTCGTGTGCTCAATGCGCTGACCGCAGGAACACGAACGCATGCGAAACGCTGGCACATTAGCCCCGCATGTCGTAGCATTTCACGGGGAAAAATGAAAGAAGAACGCACATAATTTTTTTATTTCGTCTCATTATTTATTTCAAGTTTTATTAATCTCTTAAAGCAACAAATACCTAAAGTACGCATGTTGTGTTAAATAATTTTTGCCACGTCCCGTGGTATACTGCTGACAACGTCAGAGCAGAGTCGTCTACGTAGATGACCTACGTCACTGCATTGCCGTGTACGTATAGGGCCATTCGTACGTCCACGTCATGCCCTCATTCTGTAGGCGTGCGCCGGCAGAGGGGAGGGGGAGCAGCGTTCATCTTGAAATTTGAGGCATTTCCGCGGCGCGTTTAGTTGCAAATTTTGGCAGACGTGATCATGAACGCCTCGTCTGTACGCATTGCGCTTGTCATCTCAAAATTGTCAAACCTGGTGAGTGGTCCTTTAAGGCTTAGCACCACTAGTTGGAAGCTGCCATATTTTCCGAACCTGCAGTTGAAGAAAACGTCGCCATTACTGCTACTCGTATCCTGCTTCTTAGACGTATAGAACACAAGCATTTTGCTTAGAAATGTATACTTTCTGCCAGTAACAGAACGGGTATTCTTTATTGTCCCAATAGCCACTCTTGAAGCACCACCCGTCGCACTATTCTTTGACAGACTCCTTTTTCTCTTTCGCATTCTCTGTGGCTTTTTCTTTCACTTCCTCCTTTTTTGGCTCGTCTCCTTGGCTCTCTTCGATGGCTGCTTCAGGTCCACCAGGCTTGGTCTGCCAAAAGATATGGCATCAGATAGAGATACAATTGTTAAATAGTGCCTGTCTCTGCTCTTGTTTAGTTTTTTTGTGCGAAATGACATCTAAAATATATCATCACATTTAGTTAAAAGCATGGTGGGGGACGCCTTATAACACCAATAGCTACCGTCGTCACGATCGCTAAAAAATAATGTATGAATAGGAACACACTGTGACTGAAAAGCGACTCGCAGCTTGAAAAGCTTATTGCTAGAATCAAATACAATCCATACATCATTTTTCAAATGCATACGCTTTACACCATAAGTTAATCAGGCGCGTAGCACATCGGAGTGCTTATATGTTTTAAACAATCCACCTTCATTTACGCTGAACTCATGTCAAGAGTTCACCTTTTCAAGCTCCGAGTGCTTGAAAAAAGCCGAGAAAAAGGTCAGGCGGTACAAGCAGTTGATGCTGGTGCAATGGATATGATCAAATATTACACCTTAATTGACTAAATTTTTGCAAGTGCAACAAACAGAAAAGAGCTCGCAGTGACCGCGATACTAGTTCCGTACAAGGCTACGGAACTGCTCGGCTCTTGTGAGTTCGCAGTTACAACGATACCCTTTACAATAATGTTTCAACAATAGAGATGTAATTTGTGACACCCGGGTAATCGCGAAAAAGCTTTTAGGTTGGCGGGGTTTGCAAATGCTACTTACGATGATAACCCAGTTGAAGTCGACGTCTCCTTCCAATACCATCCTGTCTGTCAGGAACGGGCCTTTGCTGATCACGCCTGGCAGCTCCACGTCGTTAAGTTTTGCCGTGCAATGACCGTCTTCTTCGCCCGTAATTTCCAGGGCAAACTCCTCAAGGTCGGGACCGAGGGGAATCTCCAGCGACTGGTCACCAAAGACGAGTCGGAAGCTGGCGTAATACAGACAAAGCAGCAACGGGGAATGGGTAATAATGAAAACAAAGCAAAGTAGTCACAGAAATACACAAAAACTTTAAGTGATAGACGATGGTCAAACGATGGTTACATCAGGCTAGAGCCAGCTTGTCTTACGACACATCAAAATATTGCGACGACAAAATTGAGGGACGCTTAAGTTGCGCCTTGTAGAGTTGAACGCGATAACAATATTTAGTTCCTAGTGCGTACTTCAAAGACAGTGTATGACATCGTTTCGGATTTGCTATGCATTCACTACGTGGCCTTGATTGTTCAGTAGCGTGTGTTTTTTGTAGTAGGTGACTAGCTATAAACTCTGAAATCATCTCGATAATACTATGTTCTGACACCCCATGGCAATGTACGCTAGCACCACACATTATTACGGCAATATTACATGTTGTATCGTGAATCATATATATACAGGAAGCGTCTGTTTGTCAAGCATGAAAGTAACATTTACTGCATTTTCGCTGTATTCACAAGCAGCTGGGTGCGAGCTCGTGAACCTAGCCAACAAACACTTTCACGTTAAAAATACACGAGTAACACAAAGAACGCCACAAAAGCTCACAAATAAATTTCGATCGCGATTCTTTCCCAATCAAAAGCATCCGGTGTGGCAATGGTACTCGACAAGAGATTTCTGTGTAAGCTCGCGCTTAAGCCTGAAGAACCAATTGTTTGCATGCTGCTGATC